TTGGTCTTGCGAAGTAAAAGGGTTTGGACGGGAGAGCCTGAGCCTTTATATATATAGTATTATATTTATATTCGTTCACGATGCTACATTGATTGCGCGCAGAGAAATATTAACCTACTTGTCATTGGTGTTACACATTGATGATGGGCAGACGAAGAGCTGCCAATGACTGTAATTGACTTTGCGCATCCAGACTGGGCTCTGCCAAGCACACCCGCTCTCAAAAACAGTCAATGATTTCGCACTCAACTTCACAGTTCCCGGACAAGCGTTGCTTTGATGTGTCAGGACAGGCGTGATTTCCGAATCCAGCGAATGCTATTCCTTTGGCCAGGCAGTTAATTTGGTCCTTCTGCGTGATCGATTCGGATCGTTTTTGCTCAGATTCCAATTTTTCCAAGCAGTGCACAGAGAACATAGGTCTCATGGTGAATATCCTAAAAGCACCTTGCTGCCGTATGTTTTTATTGATCTTCACAAACATGAGTCTCCTATAGATGGGTAAGGTTTTCAATCACATCTTCTATCAGAAGACATTCAGGATTCCCGATTCTCACCACTACCACTGCCTAATGTAGACTCTAAAACCCGCCATATCCAGAGGTTTTACAAATCAATTGGGGGAACACACATCTAGTCTGCATTCTGCATGGCATAAGACATCATAAGACTGTTGATTCACACCTTCCCCATTAGGTTTGTAAAACCTGACCGGGGTTTGATGACATCAACCTATCTACATCAGGTCGATTCCGTCCTCTTTCCGTCCGACGGTTTCGGCCCAGCGCGAGTGATCGACCACCCCTGCAGGTGCTGATCGAGCTGCTGGTGGGTCGCCCACCCGCTGTGTTGGCCCAGGATGGCCACAGCTGCGTCCGGGACGCAGAGGAAGTGAGGGCGGGTCCGGGGGGGAAGGGGGTTCGGGTTCTTCGGAACGCGTCCTCACTGGGAAAGGTGGCGAGAAAAAGACCTGGGCTGAAGGCGCATTCATTTGGGGCATCGGGCATGGGGCACTGGATGGAGTGTGAGGAGGTTTTAATCCAAGCTTGCTCCGTGCTCAAGGGCTTAGAACGCATGCAGAGCCCACAACGCGGCTGGTCTCCGAGGTCTTCTTGAGCGACGAGCTGCGGCCGAAGGAGGACGCCGGGCCGCTCCGTGTCTGCGTGGGCTCTCCGCGCGCTGCGCACAATACCACCGTCGCGCGTCGCGCGGTGCGCGCCACGTCGACCGCCCAGGACAAGGCCAAGGGCCGCGTGCTGAGACGGCTCGATGGACGTGGGGAGCTGAGATGGACTCGTTGACAGCAGGTGGTTTTGAGGAATTTGAGGTCTGGTCTGGCTGCATGGGAGTGGTAGGATCGGGAAGGCTGGAGGCTTGAGTCCAGCTTGGATGCTATATCAGCATTGAGATTGAATAGATGTTGCAACTTGATTCAGATTTGTATATATACTTATATAGATGAGACACTGCAAGCAGAGAAGTGAATGACAAAGGCGCCCAGTGGCCCCTGCAGACTGCTGCCAGCATGGCCACTTTGGCGCTGTCCCTGTCTGAGATGAGGGGGATCAATCTCAAGCCTGTCGACCGAGAGATTGCGCAGGCCTTGAAAGGAGTTTGTAACCTAAAGGCCTCCAACCTACTAGCAATGGCCTCCAACCTACTAGCAATGGCCTCCAACCTACTAGCAATGGCCTCCAACCTACTCGCAATGGCCTCCAACCTACTAGCAATGGCCTCCAACCTACTTGCAATGGCCTCCAACCTACTCGCAATGGCCTCCAACCTACTCGCAATGGCCTCCAACCTACTCGCAATGGCCTCCAACCTACTCGCAATGGCCTCCAACCTACTAGCAAT